AGTCGTAGAATTTGTTAGGCCAACAGAAGTTTAACCAACTTTGAACAAACTTTGGGGATAACTAAAGGCAAGGCTTTAAATCTAAAATAAATATGAACTAATATTTTGGAATAATTTGTTTAATATAGCTTTTGTTCTATTTCACCAATGAAACCAAAAATATTAATATTAAACTATCAAGTTAAATCCAAAATCTGTTTTGTAATCCCAACCTCTGCTAGCTAGCAGATCTTCAGCACTTACCCATTTCTCTTTCTAACTTTCTTAATATTCTATTAACCCTTAACCTTTCCTTTCTCCCAGTGCACACATACAGGGGAGCTGTCAGGTCTGTCTATATCTAAGCAGCTCAACACCACCCAGTTGCGAATGGAAGCCACCCGGTTGATGCATTGCACTTTGGCGTGTTGCTGACGCCGCGGGCGAGCTGCGAATGCCGCAGTGCATTTGGCAAATAAGAAAAATTGCATAAATTTCATTAAACTCGAAATGTCAAGCAACTGTCGGGTGTGAAGCCAACCTTTCCCCGGGCCCAGCCCTTTTAACCCCTAGATGTTGGCGGGGTGGTTGGGGTTGGCGTTGGCGGCTCTGCTCGTACATCAACGATGTGGCTGTCTGGGCCACGGCCTGGCAATATTAAAAATTGTGCACCAAAATCCCCAAAGTAATTTATTAAGATGCCTCATGATGTTTCTACGTTCTACGTTCTGTGTTTTATTTTTTTATTTTTATTATTATTTACGCGCCGTTGACTTCACGCCATTAAAAAACACGGCGCAACCTACATAGCGAAAGCATTTTGTATGCAAAAGTTGCCTCATTGGAGTCGAGTTTTGTTTCAGCCTGGAAAGGCAGACTCAAAAGATGGTTAGTTACCAGCAAAAAGAATGAAGGAGAAACCATAGATATGAAGGACAATCCAAGTGGCCAACTAATGCAGCTCCCGGCAGATTCGCATCCATCGTTAGCCAGTCGACATTTATATGAGGTTCTAGCCTGGCCTAAGCCATTTTTGGCTTTGATTGCAATTCGCAGTTTTTGTGGCCAAGGCATTGTCATAAATTACTTTGCCCCCTCTCTCTGTGTGTGTGTGTGTAAGTGTGCGTGTGTATTTGAAAATCGTAAATCAAAAGAGGGTGAGAAGAGAAAAAGAAGCAAGAAGGCAGAGATGGAGAAACCATCGTCTTTGCCACACTGCGTATGTGTGATATTTCATAAGCGTGTCATGAATTCTAATTACCTTCTGGCCATAGAAGCAATTGCCATTTCTACGCTCGGCTTTTGCATTTTATGTGCACACAATTCATAAATCTCATTTTTAAATTGCTTTTCAAACTTTTTACACCACGCACACACGATATCACCTATACGGCAGTTGAAATATTAAATTCCAAAGCCCCAGCAAAAAGAGCATTGAAATAAATAGAATTATCAAAAAAAGAGAGTAGATAATGTGAATAATTAAATTTCAGCGAATCGAATGCATAACTACACGATAGCATGCAAATTTAATACGAATTACAATAATAATAATAACAATAATAATAATAATAATCATCACGGTCTCACGTGCTTTTTTTCCCTACTATTGAATATTTAAACGTTTCCTTTGTTGCGCTGTGCACTTTGTTTTTCCCGCTCTGCTCTGCAAATTTTCCATTCATTGGCGTCTGACCATTCAGTGCGTTCAGCGTTTCCATTTTAGTGTGTCCATGTTAACGTCATAATCTGCGTTATGCAGTTTAGCGTATCAATTACCGCATAGCAGCAAAAACTGCCATGTGAATAAAATATATTGCCATGCGATGCGGTACGACGCTCATCAGCGAATGATATTTGCCATAGATAGTGCCCAGCGAAAGGGAGTCGAATAAATACCGAATAAATGCACTTTCCCAGAGAGTCTGCACTATTTTCAGGAGATTTCAAAGGATATTTTTTACTATTTAAACACATTTATTTGCTTGTTAAACAAGGAAATCTGTGCTATTGATTATTCTATTAAATTTTTCATATCGCATTTGTCATAATTGTACTACCTATAAAACATAAAATACTTCCGCGTGATAATACCCCCGACTATCACTCTAAGTTCCAACCCATTCATACCCTGCCAGCCAACAAATATGAAAAAATCATTGCCCATCTCGTTGTTGAAAATAAATTTACAATTTTTTCGCAAATAAAAACAGAAATCTCCTTGGCTGTATATGAATAAAGAATGTAAATCTGCCAAATCAAAAATTGATTTGAATGGGCATGCGGTAAGTACAGTTGAATGGTGGAATGAATGGCGAGGGTTTTCGGTGAATAATTGAAAGTGCGGGTGGAGGTGAGGCAATGGTCAATGGTACAACGTTGATGACATGAAAAATTCATTAAACGCGTCAGGCCACAAAAAGGGGCAACCACAATGGGTGCGGTCCTTGGTCCATGGTCCTCAACTGCAATTCCAATTGCAAATGGCAAATGGTAAATAGCAAAACGAGCCATTGATGGGTGAAAGCGGTGAAAATACGGCATTAGAAATCTCAAATTTTTCAAATTCAATATCAATTCAGGACCGCTAAAGGAATGCTTGCAGGCCGATGGCTCAAATTAGCAAAATGCGGTAGCCGGGAGTCTGACAAATATTTGGCTCGTTTTACGTTTGTCCAACGGCATTGGTTTAGTTAATAAATTAGTAAAATGTTCCTGGTGACAATGTTGTTGGTTAGCCGAACGCGTTGTCAAACGGCTGGCGGGACAATGGCCTATGATAATAGAATTTTTGCAGAATTTTTCGTTAGCATTTTGGGCATTTTGGGCATCATGAGCGACAGCTGCAATAATAATAATAATGGTAAAGCAAAAACAATAGCAAAATCACCAGGAGCCATGAGCCATGAGCCAAACCATGCAACGTCATCATCAGAGGCAACTAAAAATATGTTAGACAAGCGCCAACATTAGCAAAGTGTTTGTAAAATATGCCAACAACTCGATTTGCCTGCCTGTTGTAAGCCCAACGTCCTGCCCTCTCCCACTCGCCCCGTAAATTTTCCATTTGCAAACCAACTAACCAACCATTCAACCACCCACATTTTCATTCTAGCATTCTAAATATTTTGCGAAAACCTAAAACATATATGAGGATACATACTGCCTACGAGTATAGGAGTATGGAGCATACACACGCCATTGTTGAGGTCCACATTTTGCCGGCCGTCGCTTTTGACGTTGCAATAAATTTCCACGTTTATTTATTATTGCGCCGCACGTCACTGATAATTAAAAATAAATCAATTTTTAATGGCTCTGGTTGGATGGCTGGCAAGCTAAACCGAGGCCCATAACTCGGCTCTTCTGGATGAGTGGACTACGGTTATGAGGTTGCCGCATAAAACCAATTAGCACACGTTTAGGTTCGAAAAATTTAATAAGGTGCCCGCCAGTCAAATCAATATACTCGCTCATAGAATGCTGAACACGTATTCTAGTTGCCAGACAGACATACAGGCACACGCTTTTAAGCAAATCAGTTTATGATCCAGAAACAATACTTCATCAGGCGCCGCCTTTCACTTAGCCGTACACACACATATGGCCCGAATGGCCAACAATAAAGCTCAACTCGGCTCAAATCGAAAAAATAAAGCAAACAGATGGAAAAATGTTGATGCGTCACGTTGTTGCAATCATTAGGCATGGAATGTCAGAGTGTGTTTGGAATCAGCAAACGTGGCATATACTGTACAGTATATGCCGCTCAAATGGTTAACAATTGTCGTGGCCAATTGCCATTGCTTATTGGATGGCTAAAGAGAGGAGTCAGTTTAATGAACTTTTTCCCAATCTGCATGGCCGTGGTGTTTGGACTTTAATTATGTAGTCAACTCTTTGCGGTTTATTTGAATGTCAGGCATTTTATGGCCAACAGCAGCATCACCCCTTAGGCCGCCGTAAATCTAATAACATAAGCCAAAGGGGGCTAACAGTGACTGGAACAGTCAGAGAAAAAGTCAGAGACCTTGTTATTTATATGCACGCATAAATATCAGGGCCAGTGTCTGACCACAGTTGACTTGGCAACCGCAGAAAATGGCATAAAAGTCAACATGTTCAACAGCAGCTGAAAAAATATAGCCCCCGATATTATGCTATAGTGATGCGTGATGTTTCTGGGTGTTCGTATGCGTGTGTGTGTGTGTGTGTGTGTATGTGAGAGGGACTTTTCATATCTGGCCGTGGCTATAAAGTATAAATTACGGCAAATGTGTTACGCAGCGCAACAGTCCGGGCTGCTGAGCCATCGCACGCACAACTAACTAACAACTATTAAGCCAGACTGTGTGTGTGGATGTGTATGTGTGTGTGTGTGTCTCTGTGCTCTGGCTCTGACTTCATCTCCGGGTGAAATACGACCGTAAGACATTGGCCGTAATCAACATGCGTGGCACTGTGTGCGTTTTACACATGCGCCATACCATTTTTCCGGTGATTAAGTGTTGATAAGTCTATAAATTAACTCGAACACACGCATCTGCCGGCAGCGCAAGTCAGACAGACAATGGTTGCGAAATCGCAGGACTCTCCATAGTGCAGCACGGCCCACATGTCGGCTACGCAATATCTACATATATGCTAAAAGCACACACACACACACACACACACACACACGCATATATTAATCATGCCGCAAAGACATTTACATCTGTATGGGCGATTGTGGGGGAAAACTGTTTCCCACTTAATGATACGACTCTGGGGAAAAAGTGTGGAAAGCAAAACAAATTGGAAATTCAAGCTGAGGAGCGCATTGCAGGTGATTACAATATCAGGAATTCAACAAATAACATCCTTTGTTGTGGCCACAAAGAACTATCAGCTCAACTAACCAATAGTTAGACGATAATTGATTATTGTGCGTAAGCATCGTGGGAACTATTTCCATAAATGTCTGTTGTGGGAAAAATTAAATGAAATTGGTGGACAAAAACTGTAAACTTTTCTTCAATATAAAAGAACTTCTCGAACATTCTGCAGCAGTCTAAGTCTAACTTCAAGATCAAAAAGTTTCATAATGTGGTTTAAATATTTGAGAGAGCCAACTCCATCGGATGTTCTAGCTTCCGGCGAGGCTTTCCATTACTTTGAGAACGGGATGTCTTGTCTGGGTTGGATACCCCCCGCAAGATACGAAAAAATTTACAAAATTTTAGCAATATTTTTTTTTGTCTGGACCGTTTATTACGTTCCTACTGGGATCATATTCAGTTTTGTCTTAGACATGGAACACTTAAGCCCCAGTGAGCTCCTAACCGTTCTCCAACTATTTGTCAACGCTTGTGGGTCACCTTTCAAAGTGTTTTTCCTAAAGACCTATCTATGGCGATTTCAAAGGACCAAAGAACTTTTTGGTCAAATGGACGAACGCTGTTCTACTTTGGTGGAGCGCTTTGAGATCCATCGTTGGGTTGTCCGCTGCAACAGGGCTTACCTGATGTATGAATCTCTGTATGTAGGATATGGCATATCAACTTTCTTGTCAGCTGTCCTTTCGGGAGGCCTGCCCTGGCGCATCTATACACCATTCGTGGATTGGCGACAAAGCCTTACAAGTTATTGGATATGTGTCCTTCATGAGACTATTCTTATGCTCTTCGCTGTTTCTCAAAATGTTCTAATCGATGTTTACTCCTTTTTGTGTGGAATAATGCTAAAAGTTCATATCACACTGTTGATAAAGAGAGTGGAGAGGCTTTGCACAGATCCTGAAAAAAGCGATGAGGAAAATCTAAAGGACTTGGTCGACTGCATCGAGGATCACAAACTTATCAAGGAGTAATCTTAAATCAAATTTGTTTTTAAATTATATATTCTTTACTCTATCTTTTAGATGCGCCCAAATGATTCGTCCTGTCATCGCCGGCACAATTTTCGTTCAGTTTCTTCTGATTGGCGTTTCCTTGGGTTTTTCCATGATAAATCTCTTCTTTTTCGCTGACTTATGGGCAGCTTTGGCCACATTGGCTTACATCATTGGTCTCATCATGCAGACCTTTCCTTTCTGTTTCGTTTGTGACTTGATTAAAGCGGATTGCGAACTCCTACAGATGGCCATATTCCATTCAAATTGGCTTGATAGCAGTAAAAAATACAAGACCTCCTTGATCTTATTCTTGATGAATGCTCAACAGTCTATTGTCTTTACAGCTGGCAAGATATTTCCCATAACTACAAATACCAATGTTAAGGTGGGTTCATAATTTTTTAATTTTTTCAAACATTTACTAATGTTAGCTTTTCTTTTAAGGTGGCCAAACTGGCATTTTCGGTTGTTACTTTAGTAAATCAATTTAATCTAGCTGAGAAGTTGGCAACTAACTAAATTGGAATATGTAAAACAATATTTAGTTTCACTTCAAAGCATCGTAGTCAAATGGAAATATTAATATTGTAACTCAAATCTGAAAAATAAAAAGCACTTTCCAATTAGAAATTCCTTTGGGGAAATGCATACTGAGGATCCTTGCAGATAATTACAACTTCCAAGGTTTACAGAGAAAATTACAGGTTTCATAAACCAAAGATAATTGATTATTTTGCGTAGCTCGGGGGGTATCTAATTCAGTCCAATTTGCATTTTTGAGGTGGGAGTAAACACCTTGAATTTTGGAAATTTGAAAATTGGCATGTATAAATACAGAATCTTGTGGAAAAACCAAAGCAGTTAGAAACAGAAATCAAAACCGGAAAGTACAAAATGTTTTTCAAATATTTAAGAGAACCAACGCCAAAGGATCTTCTGACTTCTCCAGAGGCCTTCAAGTACTTTGAATACGGAATGTTCTGCATGGGCTGGTATACTCCGGAGAAGTATAGGATTCTCTACTACACCCTAGCCACAAGTCTTGTGGCATGGTGTGTTGTATATTTGCCCATTGGAATCAGCATATCTTTCATAAAGGACATAAACACCTTCACGCCGAGTGAATTTTTAACAGTTCTGCAGCTATTTATTAATTCAGTGGGAATGCCCTTCAAAGTACTTTTCTTCAATGTTTATATTTCGGATTTTTACAAGGCCAAAGAGCTGCTGAGCCAAATGGACAAACGTTGCGTAACTCTGGAAGAACGTATTGAAGTCCATCGATGGGTGGTCCGTTGTAATTTGGCCTTTGTCATCTACCATATAATCTACAGTGCCTACACTATCTCAACTTTCCTATCATCCACTTTGAGTGGAAAGTTACCTTGGCGTATTTACAATCCATTTTTGGATTGGCAAGCAAGTAGCTGGAGTTTTTGGAAAGCTGGCCTGAATGAGACTGCACTTATGCTTTGTTCTGTGACCCAAACCTTCTTGAGCGATTTATATCCACTGCTCTATGGTCTGATTCTGAGAGGTCATATCAAACTCCTTCGGCTAAGAGTGGAGAAACTTTCCACTGATCCTGGCAAAAGCGATGATGAGAACCAGGAGGATCTCATTAACTGCATCAAGGATCATAAGCTCATCAAAGAGTAGCTAAAGGAACTTTTCTATAAAGAATAATTATCATTTTTGTATTATTTTCTAGATTTGCCAATACAATACGTCCTGCGATTGCCCGCACCATCTTTGTGCAATTTCTTCTGATCGGTATCTGCCTTGGCCTGTCCATGATCAACCTGCTCTTCTTCGCCGACCTTTGGACTGGCTTAGCCACAGTGGCCTATATCAATGGCCTGATGGTTCAGACTTTTCCCTTCTGCTTCGTGTGTGACCTCATTAAATCTGATTGTGAACTTCTGGAAATGGCTATACTGCATTCTAATTGGATCAATTCGAGTCGCAGATACAAATCATCTTTGCTCTATTTTCTGCACAACTCACAGAAATCTATTGCTTTTACAGCTGGCTCTGTATTTCCCATCTCAACGGGGTCAAATATAAAAGTAAGTTCTTTAAAATTTCTAAACCTTAACAGAAGGTTTAAGTAATTACTATTTTTAGGTGGCCAAGTTGGCTTTTTCGGTAGTTACTTTTGTCAATCAACTGAACATAGCAGACAGATTGACAAAAAATTAATTGAATTTGGAGAATTTTATATAGTTCGAACTTACTATTATCAATATCAATTAACTCTTTTTCATTAATCCCAATAAATGAATTCCCTTTAATGCTTTTTCTGCGGTCACCTGTCCTTGTGAGCTGAATTCGAAAAGCTGACAAGCTGAAGAGGGCTTAAAGGCAACTACCAACATAAATGACCTAAGTACACATGCACTCTGCTTAGCTCCAAAATCAATTTAGCCAAACCGCAAAGGAAACTTATATATATATATGGATAACAACAACTGAACTACCAAAATGTTGTGGGCTATCTAGAACAGGTTAAGGGAAAACAAGTAAATAAACAAACAAATAAAGAGGCCAAAGGAGAGAGGCTGGGGCAGATGGAAAAGTCAATTAAAATTCAAGAAAATTAATTGCTTAAAATACGCATAGAATTGATTTACAAATTCGCCAAGGACATCGTAAACAAGAAATCTGTTTTAATTGCGGTTGAGCCAAGAGCAAGGACTCTAGGCCTTACCCAAACCCAAACCCCAACCCCAAACCCCATGACCCATTCCTCCTTGAACAGCAAGTTCAAAGTCTAGCCGCTAGCGCAAAAATGTTCTTGTGCGTCTGTCTTTGATGTGCTAGCTGCTGAGAGAAGGTCGGTTAGGAAAATGTCTAGAGATGGAACAACGGAGCGACGGCGGATCCATGCGATTTACATAAACCAAAAATGGAGGCCAAGGCCCTCAAAATGCAGAGCGCGCTCATATTTAATGGTCACCGCAGCGAAAAGCCTGCGGAAAATTAATTTGCATTTTTCCCCAAACAACAACGTGCCGGCATACATTTGCAATTGAGTTTGTACATAGTTTTTCCCGCGGCACGGCAAGTTTTGCACAACACAAGTTTTCACTTGCCCAATTCACTGGGGCATTTGTGGTGCTTTTGGTGGATCGTTGAGTGGGTGGTTTGAGGGGCCCAAAAAAACTTAATTCGCACAAATGCTCAACAACAACTATGGGAGGAGGGGGTTGGTGGTAACATATTTGCCCAAGAGAACAAATAGAGTCCTTGTCTCCAGCCGGAAAAAGGATGCGATGGTGGTTTCTTCTTGCTTCTCCTTCTTCTTCTTCGTTTGCAACAGAGGCGGCACGCGTAGACGCATTAAATCAAATTAAAAGCCCCGCTAAAAGAAGTGACAAAACCCCAGGTAAATCCCATTTTAAATACAAATAGCATGCGTACTCCTCGAGGGCCTGCGGATGCAGGAGTCGTCTGTCTGACTCTGCCGCTGCTGTGAGTGGTTTTGCGGATTTCCCGCACCACCTCCTCCTGGTTGGTGGCCCACATTTTTCCGCAGCTTAGCGGGTGGTGCTTGTAATCTTAGTTTAAGTTGATTGTACGACACACACACACACACAGAGAGAAAGGAAAGCCGAGAGAGAGAAAAACGAAAAGAAACACGATCCCGGTAAAGTGCTTTAAATAAAAATTTGTGGGCCTGTCTTAGAGGTGGCAAATGTGTTTGTTTGTTTGTCTGTTTGGCTGTTTGGTATCCTCGGTATAAGCCAAAGGCTAAGGGTTGACTTCCCTGGCTAACTCTTTGGAGTTTTTCGGTCGGGAATTGCTTTTAGCGTAATTGCAAGAATTCCCCGAAGGTGGCCCCAAAACACTTCCCCTAAGTCAGCCACGTTTTTAGGCCGTGCTCTCTCAGCTCCGTTTCGCTATTCAATTAAGCCGCTTTGCAGGTTTCCCCACCCCCACTTTTGTTACCTCTTGTTTTTCCCGTTAGTTTTTTATTAGTTTTTAACCTTAGGGTACTTCAGCGTACTGGTACAATGCAAACTCCATCATCGCTGGGGGATCGACCAAAAATCAACTCGTTCAATCAATCAGACGATCAATCAAAAAATTCAATCACCATCAATTGCAGGCCGGGCCAACATAAACAAACAGTCGTGGCGTATGGTAGAAAAATATAGCACAGATTCCGGCTCATTCATTAACCCCAGCAAAACCCTATTTGGGCTCAACCCCCTCTAAAAAAAAAAAAAGCCGAAAATTGCAAATCGGCAGTTCAGTTCAGGTCGGCTTAGCTTACTTGACTATTCAGGGAAATACGAGTAAAAGAATGAAAAAGTAAAAAACGTTTTTGGCTTTTTCTCTGTAGTTTACGATGGTTTTCCACTTCTTTTTAACCCATGACTTTAGTACATGTGTCTGAATGCGGCTTGTGAAAAAGAAAATCACACAAAAATCACTTTTTAAAGCATTTCGGGCTGGGCGACAGATACACGCATTGAAGCGTGGGCACTTTTGCGTTTTCCAGGACGAGGAAACCAAAGAGGGCCACACCCGTTGAGGCAGTCAGCCAGCATATTTATTTTATTCCAGCTCGTCCTGGCAGTGCATAAAACTGTTTTTAACATGTCCTGCTCCCGCTGCTCCCGTTGCTCCCGCTGCTGCTGCTGCTCCTCCTGTTTTTGCTGGCAGCCCTTTTTATGCCAACTGTAAGCGATCTGCACGAAACTGACACAAATACGGGGCCGCTGAAGTGCTGGGCGGAAGCCGAGTGTTGGACAAGCAGATTTAAACCGTTACGGTTTACCTGCCACCACACCACACACACACACACCTACTGCCACACACTGTAAACACATACATATGCACATATATACAAATATATACAGATATATATATATTTTCGTATAAACGTACATATTTAAATAAAACGCTTTCGCAGGACAACGCCGCACTTTGCGCAATCACAGGCAACCGAGTGGGGCCAGTCCAGGGGGCAGTTTTCCACCCGAGAGCAGGGCGAGAATGGCAGGCGACGGCTGAGTAAAACAGCTTCCATTGATTTCACACAGCTTTGGTGAAGAAAAACATATAAAAGCCGTTGCAGTGCCACAAAAAAATACCAGAGGAGCTTAACATTATAAAAAAAAAAGGAAGGCTGAATGTACCGAATGGGTGTTACCCCAGGCTCAACACAAATATATATGTCCAGCGGATAAAAATATGTGTAAACTCAAATAAATATCAATTCCAACTAGATTTAACAAAAATTGTAATATCCTTTGGGCTTTCTATGGGCAGAGATCTTTTTTAATTTAGTGTTAAAATAATATCATTTGGTAAGGTTTTCCTGGCTTATTTTCACCCAAAGTGTGCAAATTTAGAGAACATTTTTCATGATGTTAGATTTAGATAGATTATGTAACTCAACATGGCCCTACATTTAGCCTGTTGATCTCGTACAGGGAAGCCTTTAAACCTTATTCTTCTCACCCTTCCAAGCATATTGGCACAAATATACCCTTACACCCTGCAAATACCTGTTATAAAAGGAAATCCCCCCAGAAACACAAATGCAAATACAAATAGCGCTACAGAACGAGAAGGGGTGAGGGTGAAAAGCGGTAAGAGAAAATGTCGTCGTCACGTGGCCGCTGCTGCATAAGCTGAAATGAGTTACATCAAATGCTTTTGGCTTTCACAGGAAATGGCAGCGCAATGCATTTTTATTTACATCTAAGGACATCACAGCAGGTGAACAGAAAGAGAGAGGGGCAAAGCAAGCCATTAAGGAATTGCTCGGCAATTGAAATGGCCAAGTCAAATAAAAGGCAGCCAGACATTTCAGGGAAATGTGGGGTGTGTCATGCATTTGATTAAAATTAAAAATACTCGGACTAAGGTAAGGGCTTTGATGTAGACCAACCACAGTGCCATATCAGAGCTCCTTTTGGAGTCCAATCCTCTTTTTTCCACCAATCCTTAGCCTCCACCCCGTCCACTGACATTGATTTATGTGAGGAATCTTAATGAAAAGACCATTCCAGGCTGTATCAGCTGGTCCAGGTAAAACAGCGTTGATCGTTCGATTAAGCTAAGCGAAAATAAATTACAAGGTATTACGACGAAACACGAATGCTGCCAAAAGTGTTCTTTTGCTTTGGCCGTGTAACGCATACGCCATGTTGCCTTGCTGAAGAGGCTCTCTCTCTCTCTGTGTCGAAGAAGGCAACAGCAATCCATCATCAATTACGATTAAATCCATCAGGAATTATGCGTCAAATTGATTGAAAGTCAGTTGGCACATTCTAGCCGGGTCCGACACTGAATTATGGCATTAAATCAATTTCCCTTTAGTTAAATCAATGGCACAACTATTGCTCCAGACCTGGGCCATTGGCCCCGTCTTTTGGCTTCAGACCGGGCATTAGCATTAGCCGCTGCCGTCACTCAAAGTCAGCCAGCCGGCTGAGCTGTTCTGAGCTGAGCTGGTGCTACCTACCAAACTGGAGCTGGAGCTAAAGTTGAGCTCTGCAGCAACTTAAATCGCCCAGACTCTCCGGCTCGAGTGACGGCACAAAACTTTTGCCAGGCCAATAAAGTACGGCCAAGTGATGGCTGCTCCAGAGCCAACAGTCTCTCTACGAGGCGACCATCCAGTCCGGGCAATCCAAGCCTCGACACTGTGACGCATCGACCTGTAGTCTCCAGCGGGGTGGAGGAGAACGAGGAGTAGAGACTGAGCTGCAAGCTCCTAAGAAATGAAAATATTTTCTTGCAATTGCAAAAAAAAAAAAAGAAAAGAGAATGCCAGCGAGATGGGGAAGCATAAAAAAGCAAACCCAATGAACAGAGGGAAAACTGCAAATCGCAGCGGATCCGAGTGTCTGGAGTCTCTGCAAGCGGAGCGCGTCAATTGACTGCAATAATTCTGGAAAATGTGCAAAGTGTAAGGCCGGACTGTCGGACTGTCGGACAGCCAAGTAATTTATTTATCAAGTTTCAAGCTGCAGCTTGAAAACTTAATACGCCGCCAAATTGAATGCAACACAGGACTAGCTGCTAGCGTCTTAAATTTCACACTCCCTGCCTGTAATCACAGAAATAGTCGCTGTTAAACTTAAAGCACGATCTTTGACTTTCTACGAGGGAGGTACCATTGCACTAGCCAATTTGCACTTTACCACAAAATTCAATTTACGCATCCTGCAATGCAGCAAAAT